CTCTCCTGGAGACTAGTCAACACAGGTGGGTGTGATTTAGGGGCCACTCTCCTGGAGATTGACTCAACACAGGTGGGTGTGATTTAGGGGGGCCACTCTCCTGGAGATTGACTCAACACAGGTGGGTGCATAGGGGGGCACTCTCCTGGAGATTGACTCAACACAGGTGGGTGTGATTTAGGGGGCCACTCTCCTGGAGACTAGTCAACACAGGTGGGTGTGATTTAGGGGGCACTCTCCTGGAGATTGACTCAACACAGGTGGGTGTGATTTAGGGGGCACTCTCCTGGAGATTGACTCAACACAGGTGAGTGTGATTTAGGGGGACACTCTCCTGGAGACTAGTCAACACAGGTGGGTGTGATTTAGGGGGCCACTCTCCTGGAGATTGACTCAACACAGGTGGGTGCATAGGGGGGCACTCTCCTGGAGATTGACTCAACACAGGTGGGTGTGATTTAGGGGGCCACTCTCCTGGAGACTAGTCAACACAGGTGGGTGTGATTTAGGGGGCACTCTCCTGGAGATTGACTCAACACAGGTGGGTGTGATTTAGGGGGCACTCTCCTGGAGATTGACTCAACACAGGTGAGTGTGATTTAGGGGGCCACTCTCCTGGAGATTGACTCAACACAGGTGAGTGTGATTTAGGGGGGCACTCTCCTGGAGACTAGTCAACACAGGTGGGTGTGATTTAGGGGGCCACTCTCCTGGAGACTGGTCAACACAGGAGGGTGTGATTTAGGGGGCCACTCTCCTGGAGACTAGTCAACACAGGTGGGTGTGATTTAGGGGCCACTCTCCTGGAGATTGACTCAACACAGGTGGGTGTGATTTAGGGGGCCACTCTCCTGGAGATTGACTCAACACAGGTGGGTGCATAGGGGGGCACTCTCCTGGAGATTGACTCAACACAGGTGGGTGTGATTTAGGGGCCACTCTCCTGGAGACTAGTCAACACAGGTGGGTGTGATTTAGGGGGCACTCTCCTGGAGATTGACTCAACACAGGTGGGTGTGATTTAGGGGGCACTCTCCTGGAGATTGACTCAACACAGGTGAGTGTGATTTAGGGGGACACTCCCCTGGAGACTAGTCAACACAGGTGGGTGTGATTTAAGGGGCCACTCTCCTGGAGATTGACTCAACACAGGTGAGTGTGATTTAGGGGGGCACTCTCCTGGAGACTAGTCAACACAGGTGGGTGTGATTTAGGGGGCCACTCTCCTGGAGACTGGTCAACACAGGAGGGTGTGATTTAGGGGGCCACTCTCCTGGAGGCTAGTCAACACAGGTGGGTGTGATTTAGGGGGACACTCTCCTTGAGACTAGTCAACACAGGTGGGTGTGATTTAGGGGGCACTCTCCTGGAGATTGACTCAACACAGGTGGGTGTGATTTAGGGGGCACTCTCCTGGAGATTGACTCAACACAGGTGGGTGTGATTTAGGGGGCCACTCTCCTGGAGACTAGTCAACACAGGTGGGTGTGATTTAGGGGGCACTCTCCTGGAGATTGACTCAACACAGGTGGGTGTGATTTAGGGGGCCACTCTCCTGGAGATTGACTCAACACAGGTGAGTGTGATTTAGGGGGGCACTCTCCTGGAGACTAGTCAACACAGGTGGGTGTGATTTAGGGGGCCACTCTCCTGGAGACTGGTCAACACAGGAGGGTGTGATTTAGGGGGCCACTCTCCTGGAGACTAGTCAACACAGGTGGGTGTGATTTAGGGGGACACTCTCCTTGAGACTAGTCAACACAGGTGGGTGTGATTTAGGGGGCACTCTCCTGGAGATTGACTCAACACAGGTGGGTGTGATTTAGGGGGCACTCTCCTGGAGATTGACTCAACACAGGTGGGTGTGATTTAGGGGGCCACTCTCGTGGAGACTAGTCAACACAGGTGGGTGTGATTTAGGGGGCACTCTCCTGGAGATTGACTCAACACAGGTGGGTGTGATTTAGGGGGCCACTCTCCTGGAGATTGACTCAACACAGGTGAGTGTGATTTAGGGGGGCACTCTCCTGGAGACTAGTCAACACAGGTGGGTGTGATTTAGGGGGACACTCTCCTGGAGACTAGTCAACACAGGTGGGTGTGATTTAGGGGGCCGCTCTCCTGGAGACTAGTCAACACAGGTGGGTGTGATTTAGGGGCCACTCTCCTGGAGATTGACTCAACACAGGTGGGTGTGATTTAGGGGGGCCACTCTCCTGGAGATTGACTCAACACAGGTGGGTGCATAGGGGGGCACTCTCCTGGAGATTGACTCAACACAGGTGGGTGTGATTTAGGGGGCCACTCTCCTGGAGACTAGTCAACACAGGTGGGTGTGATTTAGGGGGCACTCTCCTGGAGATTGACTCAACACAGGTGGGTGTGATTTAGGGGGCACTCTCCTGGAGATTGACTCAACACAGGTGAGTGTGATTTAGGGGGACACTCTCCTGGAGACTAGTCAACACAGGTGGGTGTGATTTAGGGGGCCACTCTCCTGGAGATTGACTCAACACAGGTGGGTGCATAGGGGGGCACTCTCCTGGAGATTGACTCAACACAGGTGGGTGTGATTTAGGGGGCCACTCTCCTGGAGACTAGTCAACACAGGTGGGTGTGATTTAGGGGGCACTCTCCTGGAGATTGACTCAACACAGGTGGGTGTGATTTAGGGGGCACTCTCCTGGAGATTGACTCAACACAGGTGAGTGTGATTTAGGGGGACACTCTCCTGGAGACTAGTCAACACAGGTGGGTGTGATTTAGGGGGCCACTCTCCTGGAGATTGACTCAACACAGGTGAGTGTGATTTAGGGGGGCACTCTCCTGGAGACTAGTCAACACAGGTGGGTGTGATTTAGGGGGCCACTCTCCTGGAGACTGGTCAACACAGGAGGGTGTGATTTAGGGGGCCACTCTCCTGGAGACTAGTCAACACAGGTGGGTGTGATTTAGGGGCCACTCTCCTGGAGATTGACTCAACACAGGTGGGTGTGATTTAGGGGGCCACTCTCCTGGAGATTGACTCAACACAGGTGGGTGCATAGGGGGGCACTCTCCTGGAGATTGACTCAACACAGGTGGGTGTGATTTAGGGGCCACTCTCCTGGAGACTAGTCAACACAGGTGGGTGTGATTTAGGGGGCCACTCTCCTGGAGATTGACTCAACACAGGTGGGTGTGATTTAGGGGGCACTCTCCTGGAGATTGACTCAACACAGGTGAGTGTGATTTAGGGGGACACTCCCCTGGAGACTAGTCAACACAGGTGGGTGTGATTTAGGGGGCCACTCTCCTGGAGATTGACTCAACACAGGTGAGTGTGATTTAGGGGGGCACTCTCCTGGAGACTAGTCAACACAGGTGGGTGTGATTTAGGGGGCCACTCTCCTGGAGACTGGTCAACACAGGAGGGTGTGATTTAGGGGGCCACTCTCCTGGAGACTAGTCAACACAGGTGGGTGTGATTTAGGGGCCACTCTCCTGGAGATTGACTCAACACAGGTGGGTGTGATTTAGGGGGCCACTCTCCTGGAGATTGACTCAACACAGGTGGGTGCATAGGGGGGCACTCTCCTGGAGATTGACTCAACACAGGTGGGTGTGATTTAGGGGCCTCTCTCCTGGAGACTAGTCAACACAGGTGGGTGTGATTTAGGGGGCACTCTCCTGGAGATTGACTCAACACAGGTGGGTGTGATTTAGGGGGCACTCTCCTGGAGATTGACTCAACACAGGTGAGTGTGATTTAGGGGGACACTCCCCTGGAGACTAGTCAACACAGGTGGGTGTGATTTAGGGGGCCACTCTCCTGGAGACTAGTCAACACAGGAGGGTGTGATTAAGGGGGCCACTCTCCTGGAGACTAGTCAACACAGGAGGGTGTGATTTAGGGGGCCACTCTCCTGGAGACTAGTCAACACAGGTGGGTGTGATTTACAGGGACACTCTCCTGGAGGTTGACTCACCACTGAAATACACTTGATCTTTCAGACTGTGCAGACAAGTCACATTAACTGCTACATGTTGCACGTTGACTTCATATTAATCATTTTTCAACCATTTTGATGTTTTCTCAGGTTTCTTGATATGACCAAAACATTTGTATAAAATCTTATTGTCTGTCAGATACCGGTTCCGAATGACTTATTACCATAATAAGTATATATTCTGTTCCAAATTAAACCATCTTTATATTGTTTTCCTACTGACTAGTCCAACATCTACTGTTTACCTACTGACTAGTTCAACATCTACTGTTTACCTACTGACTAGTCTAACATCTACTGTTTACCTACTGACTAGTCCAACATCTACTGTTTCCCTACTGACTAGTCCAACATCTACTGTTTACCTACTGACTAGTCCAACATCTACTGTTTACCTACTGACTAGTCTAACATCTACTGTTTACCTACTGACTAGTCAAACATCTACTGTTTACCTACTGACTAGTCTAACATCTACTGTTTACCTACTGACTAGTCCAACATCTACTGTTTACCTACTGACTAGTCCAACATCTACTGTTTACCTACTGACTAGTCGAGCATCTACTGTTTACCTACTGACTAGTCCAACATCTACTGTTTACCTACTGACTAGTCCAACATCTACTGTTTACCTACTGACTAGTCTAACATCTACTGTTTACCTACTGACTAGTCCAACATCTACTGTTTACCTACTGACTAGTCCAACATCTACTGTTTACCTACTGACTAGTCCAACATCTACTGTTTACCTACTGACTAGTCTAACATCTACTGTTTACCTACTGACTAGTCCAACATCTACTGTTTACCTACTGACTAGTCCAACATCTACTGTTTACCTACTGACTAGTCCAACATCTACTGTTTACCTACTGACTAGTCCAACATCTACTGTTTACGTACTGACTAGTCCAACATCTACTGTTTACCTACTGACTAGTCCAACATCTACTGTTTACCTACTGACTAGTCTAACATCTACTTTTTACTTTTTACTTTTACCAGGACCAGTGGGAGTTCCAGTTCCTGAGTTCCTACCTGGGCCTACAGAAGAACCAGAGCAAGGCGGGGGCGGCAGCAGGGGCAGGGGCCAGGGAGGTGAACACAACAGCCTGTGTGAGTTGGGCGGTCAGCGAGCCCCTTAAGCTGACCAGGGCCTGGTGTACAGACCTCCTCAACTTCATCGGCATGAGACCTGTCGAGGGGAAAGTGAGTTTTCAGATGGCCTGTCATTGATGCAGTATTCACTAGCCAAGCTTCTTGCTTCCATATTTCATGATGAGGCCAATGGCGATATGAATTATCAAGTTGACTGCTTAAATGTTTGTTTGTTTCTTTGTCTGTTTTCTGATTAACGCTGCACTCAGTAATATTCCAGCTATATGGCAGTGGTCTGTAAATAATCAAGCCTGGACTAGACAATCCAGTGATTGATATCATGAGCATCTATCTACGTATTTGGGATACATGCATCAACCAAATCAGCGAGCCTGACCACCCGATCCTGTTGCTCGCCTCTTACAACAAGCATAGTCGCCTTTTACGGCAAGCATGGGTTGCTGAAGGCCTATTCTAACATGGATCTTTACGGGTCGACTGCTTTAATGAGTAAGGTTTATCGATAGGGAATGTACAGTGGGATCCGTATGTAAACTAGCAGCCAAGTGGGGATTCAGGGTCAGAAAAGGGGACACAGGTAGCCCAGTTGTCTGAGGTGCCACAATTCGCTGTGTACAATTGGGCGTGATGGAAATCTATGATTTCTATGTGGGTTTGAATCTGTTCACCCTGATTATGTTTCTAGGTTTGCCAACACCGCACCCATACCCGCAGGTTTCACCAAAGTGGTAAATATCTGAGACCTGTGTCACTTTAAGCTTTCCTCCCACATAAAGCTGACACGCTGTGATATGACTGGAATTATGTTCAAAGTGACATTAAACCCAACTCACTCACTCACTCACTGGGTTAAAAGAGGTTGCCACTACCCCATACTTGTCATGTTAAGTCATGGATCATTGTATGAATATTAAATTTGAGTCTTTGCCAGCTGGAATTTACTCTGAGTAGACAATATTTAGCGTTACTGTGTCCCAGTATGCCAGTATGTGATTTGTCTGTCCAGTTCTTCCTGGTAAAGCAGCCGACGTGGTTCACGCCGCGACTGGTGGAGCTGCCAGCGCAGTACTACAAGATATTCCAGACGTATCGCAACAAACAGTGTGCAGTGTGCAACAAGGTGCCCCGCGACCCAACCATCTGCCTCATGTGCGGACACTTCCTCTGTTTCCGTGACAACTGCTGTAAAGAAGGCATGGTGTACGAGTGTGTTCAGGTAGGTTCAGCCTGGTGTTAAACCTGAAGCTGGTAAGAAGCTCCCTCTTCTGAGATCCCCTCTTATGACATCCACTCTATGATGTCATGCATCTCATGACAAGCCTCTCTCAATCCTCAATCATATTGTCTCACTCTCATGACACCATCTTCCATGACTCCTATCTCTTGATACACCTCTATCTTGATACACCTCTATCTTGACACACCTCTACTATGACTCCTCTCTCTTGACACACCTCTTGCATGACACTCCTCTCTCTTGACACACATCTCCCTTGACATCCCTCATTCTTGACACACCTCTATCTTGACACATCTCTACCATGACTCCTCTCTCTTGACACACACCTCACTCGACACTCCTCTCTCTTGACACACATCTACCATGATTCCTCTCTCTTGACACACCTCTTGCATGACACTCCTCTCTCTTGACACACATCTCCCTTGACATCCCTCATTCTTGACACACCTCTATCTTGACACACCTCTACCATGACTCCTCTCTCTTGAAACACCTCACTCTTGACACTCCTCTCTCTTGACACACATCTCCCTTGACATCCCTCATTCTTGACACACCTCTATCTTGACACACCTCTACCATGACTCCTCTCTCTTGACACACACCTCTCTCAACACTCCTCTCTCTCTTGACACACATCTACCATGACTCCTCTCTCTTGACACACCTCTATCATAACCCCACTCTCTTGACACAACTCTCTCATGACATCCTTCTCTCATGAAAGCCCTCTCTCATCACATCCCTCTACTATGACTCTCTTGACATCCCTCTCTCATGAAACAACACTCTCATCACATCCCTCTCTCCACAGCATTCCATAACTTGTGGAGGAGGAATCGGCATCTTCCTCTTGGTCAACTCCAGCGTCATCATCGTCATCCGCGGCCCCCGGGCAACGTTGTGGGGGTCTGTGTTCCTGGACGAGCATGGGGAGGAGGATAGAGATCTCAAGTAAGTCGATCCAGAGCCTAGTTGGCGATCTTGTTATGTTGTTTCAGGTAACACCATGCTGTGAAGAGTTGCATCCCTTAACTGTACCAGGATCTGCTGATCATAGGTCCAATAATGAGCCTTGGTTTGTCAACGCCATGCCTACATTCTACGTTCTGCTTCTCTTTGAGCATTCATTCCACATTAAGACGACATACAGTGATATTACTTAAGTACCATTCCAAGTAGCTTTATGCCCAACTCTTTCAGTTACATCGAACATTTTCTTCAGGGAACAGTATGAATGTACCCTGTGGGGTTTTAGGGTTAGACTAGGCCTACAGTGGCTCATGCTTGTCATGAGAGATGGGGGCGGTCGGGTAGCCTAGTGGTTAAAGCGTTCGCTCGTCACGCCGAAAACCGGGGTTCGATTCCCGACATGGGTACAATGTGTGAAGCCCATTTCTGGTGTCCCCCGCCGTGATATTGCTGGAATATTGCTAAAAGTGGCGTAAAACCATACTCACTCACTCATGAGAGATGACCACGGAGGGGACTGTGAGGACATTATGTGTGATTTGGCTGATTGTGCAGGGATATATCTCGACCTGTTTCAAGGCCGATATTCAGCCTAAACTCTGCAGCAAATGTCATTTAGCTTTCTAAAAAATCAAGAAAATTCCAAATTAATTTCGTTTAAGTAATGTTGTTATGACTTTGTATCGATGACTTTTCACTGATAACAGGACCACTGAAGAGGATGGGGATGTTATGCTTATTAAATTATTGCTTTGAATGCAACGACAAAATACAAAATGTCTAAACTTTCCAATTCTTAACAAAATAATATTTCATTCCAAATTTGCCTGCCAAGGGCACTTTATTTCGAGATAAATCCTTATTGTGTGTCATCGTACTTGATGCTCATTCCTTCAGTCACTGACCGCCTCCGTGGGCGGAAGGTCCGGGGTTTGATCCCCGGCCGTGTCATACCAATAGACGTTACAAGATGGTATTTGTTGTTACCCTGTCTGGCGCTCAGCATTAAGGGGCCAAAACAAGGACTGGTCGGCTCGGAATCAGTATACTGTGTCTGAGTGGGGTATTTATGTAAAACTGTGGCATGGTATCTCAGTGGGCTAGCACTATAAATAGGCATCACTCACCCACACAGCCACACAGCCACACACGTGCATGCATGTCGCAATAAAAGTGAAATAATCTTGGACGCGACGTTAAACCCAATTTCACCTCACCTCACCTCACCTCACCTCACCTCACCTCACCTCACCTCACCTCACCTCACCCCACCTTCAGTCACTGGTTTTGCTGGTTCAGACTGGATTATATTGACAGGCTGCCATGAACAACACATCCACTCACTCTCTCACTTACTGGTATTGTGACTGTTTCAGACGAGGCAAGCCCCTGTACCTCAGCAAGGAGCGGTATGAGCTACTCCAGGAGCAGTGGTTGTCTCACAGCTTTGACCGAGTGTGCAAGAAGTGGATCTGGCACCGAGACAGGCTCTAGGGCTACAACTCCCAGCCTGCACTGATTGTTGCTGTAACGTCCATCCACCTGTCTCAGACTCTCACCCCTTCACCTGCCTCCACTCGGGTGGCAACTTGGCCTTTCCCGGTACTTAATGGCTTTATGTGTTTAGGGAAATATAACTTCGTATATAGTATGTCATTCATTTTCTTCAAAATACACTACTTTCATCTAATATTGTAATGTCTTTTACATATAATTGTAAGAGTAATAATTCTGTTTCCATATTACATATTTTCATTCAGCAATTGCTGAATCACTATGAATACCTATGGGACAAAAATGTCTTTTCCAATAGAATAAGGAATCAGTACAATAGTGTGATTTTTTTGGACCAGGAATCTGTGATCAAGTTTCACGAAGTGGTGAACGTCTAGGATCTGATTTAGTTTGGACTTTCCAGCATTAGCTGACATGCCGTGATAGAACTGATTTACCTGGGTTATTTATTTGGTGGGTCTAGGGGACTCAAAGCTTTGAATTCTAGGAGTCCCAGGTTCAAAGAGGGATCCCAGAGAAATGGCAAGAATTGAGACAGTACTCTGCCACAAGAGATGTATTGTGCATGCACGCACAGACTGTTAGTTGAACATAGATATGGAGCTCTCCTACAAAACTAATCTACAAGTGCCATCACTAGAAGATCATGATGCATTTGACTGTGCATGGTATTTGTTTAATGATTTCATGCAGAATTTTGTGAAATAGCAGCATTCATTCCTAAACATGATAAACAATTCTGCCTCTATGTGGATGTACTCTGTAGTCTTTACTACTGATGCGTATAGGATGCAGGAAAGTCTGTCTCTCAGTCTCTGAACCATATTATTTTCCCTTTTGTCCAGCCCTTTCTGTAATGCAAATGCTCTAAATGAAGCAAGTCTAGGTTTTCCACTTCTCACTGGGGTGCCTTTTTAATTCAAATGGAGTTATTTGTTTCTATCAAAATTATATATTTTCAGAGACTAAGGTTTAGTCTAGATGCAGGATTTTGCTTTGGTAAATCCCTGTGAAATACTGTTCAAAGCGGCTTTAAACCCAAGTCACTCTCGTTCTTATTCTGTGTTGATGAATGTTACCATTTGGCTGAAGGAAGAATTTCTCTGTTTTGGGGATGTTATCTCCTGCTTTGTTGTGGATTACCTCCCCTTATGAACTGACGTTTTTGTTTTTCTGATGGAGCAGACGGGGAATTGACAAGAAAATGCCAGGAATTATTTAGGCATCCTTGTAAATTTAGAATCAGTTTCATCTTGCAATTTATTTATTGGAATGCCATTATATTTCATTTTTTTCACAGCCACGTTTTATTTTTGCAAGTTGTACCCCTCTTATTTCCACAACAGGTAAAATGTTTAGTTTTAGTTTTACCAAACACCACTGATATTTCACATTCAGAAAGAAATATTAGTTCTACTTAACTTATTCAATCGTCAATACTTCACAGGCTCGTATACACATGCTCATGAAGTATTGAAAACAAATGCCTACTTAACATTATCAATAAGAAATATAGATGTCCCGAGTTGTATTTTACGCTGTTGTTATTTTAACCATATTGGACATACAGACAAACCATCTGTGTTGACTAGGGGTCTGTTTGTGAAGGAGTAGTAGTTTTTGATTCTCCCTTCATGGGGCGACTTCTAAAAATGATACCGTATTTGACGTAATAAGTGCCCCGCTCTAATAAGTGCCCACGGCAATATTTGCTAATTTATTGGCTAGTGAACAATCCCAATTAACACCCTTCCGAATGATGAATGTACACAAGACTTATTTATTCGTGTACAATACTCACTTGTGTGTTATATGCACCCTAAATTACGGGCAATTAAATTCTGGAAAAATATATCTCTTGTGTATGATACGCACAAACATTTCTTTTGTCTAATTTCAGGCTGTCAGCATAAACCACAAAATTTTCGATCTTTCAACTCTTTCACAATTTTTTTTATTCTAATAAGAGACCCCTATTTCTAATTTTGAGAGCGCCTTACGTAGAATACAGTAATTTGTTTGTCAGTACTACACAGAGCTTGTGGATTTCACCAAATTGGTAAATGTCTAAAAACTGTCACTTTGGGTTTTCCGCCCAAATCAAGCTGACCCACCTTTAGTGTTCAAACTTAAGTCTGAAAGTCAATGGGCCCTTGTCAATACCCTAATGTTAAAGTTGAATAATTAGGGGCCGTAGATTGAAACACTGCAGCAATAAATCTAGAGGATACCAGGATGCCTCTAATTTCCCGACACTGGCCTTGATGTAAATGACATGTAAACTGACGTACTGATCCAAGTGGTGATAACCCAATTCACACTCACTCGCAAACTGACTCACTCACTGCTCACTCACACGTGGGTTTGAAATCCAATTATGTTTCTAGGCTTGTCAGCACCGTACCAGTGCTCGTGGGTTTCACCAAGGTGGTAAACGTCTGAGACCTGCATCACTTCCCACGTTAAGCTGACACGCCGTGATATAACTGCAATACAGCTAATAGTGGTGTTAAACCCAACTCACTCACATAACTGCCGTCATATAGCTGGTATATTGCTGAGTGTGGCGTTAAACAACACCAATCAACACTCACTCACTCACTCACTCACTCACTCACTCACTCACTCACTCACTCACTCATAGGTTATCGATGTGAGTCAAGGCAATCGGCACAGTGTGAAACATTACTCCCTCCTTGTGTGATTCTACACATCTCTCCCACAGTTCTGGATGCTGTTTAAACTTTCTCATATAGAGAGACTTGGTAGGTCTGGAAACCGAGACAGGAATTGCTGGCTCAGGTCGAGATGGTTGTGATCTTATTTCATGTTCCTGCCTGTGATATGTAACCTCTTACTCTGAACCTAATAGTGTATGTAAACATGTGACATACGGAAGATTATAGGGCAGGTCTAAGACCTTAAGAAGCATGTTTCCCAGTGTTCAAAATACCTGCCTGCCCAACCGTCCGAGACGGGTTGATTTCAACTCGGGCTGCCAGATTTTCAAATCCCCCTGCCCGACGGTCGGGTTATATTTCATATGTGAAAATATCTAAATATTTCCCGATGATAAGCATTAATTTACATGTAAAGATGAATAATAAAATGTAACCAAAAAGAAACCCCGTTAGCTTATCCTGAGAAACATATGATTATAGTGGGCAGGCAGGTTTTGGTCAGGGCTGGCAAGTTTTTCAGCTAGCCAGTCCTGTGGTCTGGCTGAATTTTTTGGGAGTTTCATACCCTGTGTTTCCCCTTTGTGACAATGGCAGTGCTGTTCAGAGCTGATTTATTCTTCTCAAGGACGTAAGGGGGGGCAAACCCTGTGCCACTAAAAACATGACAACGTATATGCTTGGAATGTGGGATGTATGGCTTTCAATACTGGCATCCACTCCACAACACAGTGTTGAGACTTTACTGCAGTTGTGATGATAGTAGTATGTCAAATATACTACTTTAAAGAAGTTAGGGAACGCACGATCCTTTCATATTAGCATAGTTAATCTGTCATGTCATTTTGGGTGTTCTTCAACTTGTTTTGAGTAGCATATATGAGATTTCATCAAAATATAGATCTATGTATCAAAATAGAATTTTAAGGATTGTCTGTATCATAACAATGTCATTTTGGATTCACAATTTTCATGTTCTGAAATCTCGAATCACTGATAACACTATAAAAGTTATTCTAAGCACACCACACCACACCACACCAGACACCCTCAACCTTACCACACTCCTAAAACCACACCCAACCCAACCCACATTCACACGCACATCACACCACACTATACATCCTGAACCCCACCACACAGCCAAAACTACACCTAACCCAATCGACACCACACACCCTACCCAACCCCAACATTCACACCCACCACAACCCACACCCCATTTGATTTGGAATCCTTGAATTGTCCACCCATAGTACCTTTAGTACATATATTCCAAGACACTGCCCCCCCCCCCCTACCCATTTTTTAATAGACTCTTCCTTGAATATCCTGTATCCATGTGTGTTCAGTGTAAAAAAAATAATGCAGTTCATTGAACAGATTTGCGTCCCTTGGGCATGTCAATCCTATGATCATGGGCTCCAATCCAGGTTCGCCCCGATTATGTTTCTAGGTTTGTCAGCACCATACCCTTGCTCGTGGGTTTCACCGAAGTTTAAACGTCTGAGACCTGCTTCACTTAGGGCTTTCCTCCCATATTAAGCTGACACACCGTGATATAACTGGAATGGCCTCCTTCACCCAATATAGTTGTGCTAAAATTTTGCAGACACCCCTCTTTCACTATTACTTTTTCCAGGACCCCCCTAATCCCACAACCCCTGTAATACATGACCTGTCCCTTATGTATAGTTAACCTGTTCAGTGGTTATATTACTTAATACATTGTTGAAGTTTTGCAAACCTGTTGCAGCTATTAACATATATATATCACACTTTTGTGATCAAAAGACACAATGTTGTGCATGGTGCATGAGTGCTATCTCCATTGAATAGCTGCACTCCATTTGTGCTCAAGTTTTGGTCGGATCTGACGTGACCCATAATGGGATGTCCTCAGATCTTTGTTCAGCGAAAGCGAGAACTATGATCTGATTTTAATGAGATTGATTTGTGCTCTACTGACTTTGGTTCATGGACATCTCGTTGTGTTTGTGCTTATTTAATCAGATCTTTCTATATTGATTATCAGTCATCTTTCTACATCGGTCTTCTTTGATATCAACAAGGGGAAGTGTGTTTTATCCATCATATAAATATACATATTTATTTATGTAAGTGCGGTTCTTCATGACATCACTCATCTCGTGTGTTTGTGTTACCATGGAGCTTTGTTGTAAATGTTTGTTTGCAGATAATAATTCTTTCTTTATATGCATAATATACATACTGCTATTTATTTCCTGTGGAGATTTCCCCAAAAATCTACTTAGTAAAAGTAGATTAATGTTTTAGTTTGTTAAGTTTTTTCTCATTTTAGTTGGGATTTTGTATTTTCCCCAAAGTAACTTTAATGTTTGAAGTGTTTTTCACAAAATAGTGTGTTTGTTTACTGCCTCAGTTACTACCATCCTCTTAGAGGTCGTTGACTAGGGCTGGTTCAAGTCAGAAATTGAAAAGAGAACTCCCTTTACTATACAGCATGGCTTGCACAAACAGTTTAGAGACAGAGTGTTTCATATTTTTACAAGCTTTTGTTCCTCTGTGTTAGGGGGGTCAGTGAGACAGAATATATTTTTCAGTCAGTTCTTCAAATCGTACACTGTGTTTTGAAACCATAAACCAAAGGATATATTTGGATCTAAATCACATCTTTAGTTTTCAAAACTTCCAGTGAACAAATTGTCTTTTTTAAAGCAAAAACTGATGACAAGTTATCGTTTTTAAGGGTTTGGGGGAAGGGAATATATTTTTCAAAAATATCCCTACTTCCCTCCCTTTCCCCCATCCCAAATATCAAATGGTTTTCACTTTACTCTGTATATGATTGTGAGATGATCGAGTGGCAGTGGTAGTATGAAGGACAGGTTCTCAATCACTGGTGGCTGAACTGACACATCATCATCAAACCCAGTGGTTTATTCTTCATCGCAAGTGTTGGTTTACCTGCTCCAGGCCTCACTATCTATGTAGAGGCCTCATATTTTACATGGGAAATTTGCTGTCCCATCTCGTTTGTTGATTTGAAAAAGGGTTCCCTACACAATACTCCCGTTGTTCTCCACTGGTATACAACACACATCTCTGTGTAGACTTATCTCCCTTAGATCTCAGGATCTACTGGTCAAGGGTTCAAATCTTGACCAAAATAATGAGCATTAGTTGGCACCATGGGTTTCACTAGCCGTAGACATCAAAGTAGTAACATGGAGCTTCCCTCCCTTGTGCAGCTGACCAACTGTGATATAACTGAAATACTGTTTAAAACAGCATTCAACCAAACAACTCCAAATCATTCTAAAGACATGGCAAAAATAGCCTTTATTTCTTGGTGAGATGTTTTTTATGATGTTATATTTGTTTGTCTTGCGAAGCAACTGATTTGTGAAGATGTACACTATAGTATGACTGTTATGAGTTTGCAAGACTTTACAGGGTTGTATTTTTCATTACAAAGTGAACTTGTAGATAGTGTAAAAATTACTTTCCTGATCGGATGTGAATTTTCAAATTGTACATGGTGTATTGTATTGAATGTTGCTGATGCAGCTTTATATGAATAAATATGTGTACATGCTTCTTCATCATTTGTGTTGTTTGTTAGGGTTATGATTTTGTTTATTTGTTTGTTGTTTAACGCCGCACTCAGCAGTATGACAGTGATCTGTAATAATCGATTCTTGACCAGACAATCCAGTGATTGACTTAATGAGTTTCAATCTCTGTGACTGGGACACCGTGACATGGAACAACCAAGTCAGCGAGCCTGACCACCCGATCTGATCCTGTTAGTCAGGGTTATGTACTGTCACAGCCATCTTCCCGAGGCAAGAGAGTTAACTGACTTTAAAAGTCCAGTTTCCACTTCTATAGTCAGTTAACTCACTTGCCTCGGGAAGATGTGTCACAGCTATGGCTACCCGAGTAGGGGGTCTTTGCCTTTGATGGTCCAGGCTGGATTGGTTCAAATACCACTTTCTCCCTGGTATTGGTCTTGCTTTGTTCCGGGGCGGTCGGGTAGCCTAGTGGTTAAAGCGTTCGCTCGTCACGCTGAAGACCCGGTCCGATTCCTGACATGGGTACAATG